TATTTTCTTCTTTATTAACTTCCTTAATAGTACTATATATAAAGAAATTATTAATTTCTATATTTATAGTTTAATTAGTAAAATTATAGCTAAAATATATAGATTCTTTTATTAGTTACTTCTTAACTTCTTATATATAAGTAATTTTATATAGATTTTTAATTAGAAATTAAAAATTAAAATATAAACTAAATACTCTAAAGTTTTCTATTAAGAATAATAAAAATATCCTCCTTTAAGTTTAAACTGTTAACATATAACATTCTTTTATAATAATAATAATAATATACGAATAATAATAACGCTTAACTTACTTTAATATTCTATATAAAATAAACGAATAAAGTTTAAGGTATTAAACCTTATATAAAAATACTCTATTTATTATAACCTATAACTATAATATTAATTATATAATACGTATAGTTATATAAGTACCTTATATAATTAGCAGTTTAGTAGGTTATATTTCAGATTATCTTTCCCCTCACTTTTCCCTACTAGAGGAGGAAACCTATAAGTAATAACAACTAGAGTTATTATAATATATTAATTCCCTTATTATTATCTATATGATTAAATGCCTATAAATACTTAGGATTATCACCTTTTATTATAATATAAGCCTATCTATAACCTTATACTATATAGGCGCATATACCACGCCCCTGAATACGCTTATACCTATGCTAATATAAACTAATAAGATATTTATAAAAGTTTTAGATTATTAGTTAATATTTTATTTAATACTAAAGTTTCTAAAGATACTATCTTAAGTTCAGCTTTTTAAAGTAAATACTAAAATAGATATCTATATTATTAATTACTAAGTTATTAGTAGTTTATTTAAGTATTTAAACTTATTATACTTTAAAGTAGAATATTTAAAATACTTAAAGGAGTATTTATTATACTTTTTAAAGTATTAAGTTTTTTTTCTATAGTAGTAACTATATATTTTATATCTATCAAGATTCTTAGAGTATTTAATATTATAGAAAGTATAAAGATCTTATAGTTCTATACTTTTAAACTTAAGAACTTAAGTTTATTTCTTTATAGTAGATTTCTTCTTATTTAATAGAGTTTTAATATTTTAAGAAGTTTATTTATATTATTTCTTTTTATTTAAACTTCTAAGTTCTTATAAGAAGTTATTATAATTTTAAATTCTTATAATAAAGTTATTCTTTATAAAATCTATTTTAACTTAATTAAAATATTTAAAACTTTAAATAAATTTATAAATAAAAGC